CCCATCAAACCTATTTTTTTTTAAATTTTTTTTTATTTTTTAAATTTTATTATTTTTTTATATGTACCGTCAAATCAGATCTGACTGATACAGGAGGAGATTGTTCCTCCTTCTCCAGCAGAGCATCTGGTGGATTCGAACCGTGCACCTCTTGGATTGCAGTGCAGCTTCTTGCCAGAGCTCGCCCAAACCTATTCTTAAGATGATTTTAAAATTCAGGTAGGATAGACTCGAGATCATATTTTGGTTCTCATCGACTTATTTTCCTTCAGCCTCAGTTTGAACTTGGATCACAATCTGCCCCTGGCCTAGTTTCACCTGCTAACACTGAACTTTTTCAACAGTTCCTTCCACAGATGTAGTCATTCTGATTCCTATGCAGTTCATCAGGTGAGGCCCATGTGTAAAGTTGTGGTGTTTTTTTCAAAAAGTGTTCACAATGACTAAATCACTGAACAGAAAAAATTTGATCATTCGTTTTCGAGCATCATTTCTGTCACCAAGTCCATACTTTCCGACTTTTGCATTTTTATTTCCAATTTTTGCATTCCAGTCACCAGTTACCATTAATGATTGCATGTCTGGTCAATTTCGGGCTGCAAGATTTGGTAAAAATTTTCAATTTCCTCCTCTTTGTCTTTCACTGTAAAAGCATATATTTGAATAATAGTCACATTAATAAGCCTTCGTTGTACAAGTATGGATAATAGCCTATCACTCACAACATTCTGCTTCAGGACAAAACTTGAATTCTCTGTTTTTTATTTTCAGTATAGTATACCATGTGATTATCTGATTCAAAGTGGACAAAGCTGGTCCATCTCATCTCACTAATGCCCAAGGTAGGTGAGGTGAAGTTTCACCATCCTTGCTTCTGAGGCACACTCAGATCCCACTCCCTTCAAGACAGATTTTTTGTTTGTTCTTTTGGCAGTCCATGGGATAGTCAATACTCTGCAAACAGCACAATTCAAAGGCATCACTTCTTTGATCTTCCTTATACATTATCCATTTTTTAGATTTGTAGGAAGCAATTGAAAAACTATGGCTTGAGCCAGGTGCACTTTAGTCTTTAAACTGACATCCTTGGGATTTTTTAGCACTTTTAAGAGGCCCTTGACAGCAGACTTTCCCAATACTATATGTATTTTGATTTCTTGACTTCTGCCACCACCTGGCAGTCATACAGTGGTGGTCTGCATGTCGTTGTGATGCTAGAAGCTCAGCCAGGAGTATTTTAAAATACCCACAGGGTCACTCATGGTGGGACAGGTTTCAGTGGAGCTTCTAGAGGAAGACCAACTAAGAAGCAAGACTGGCTTTCTGCTTCTGAAATAGCAGGTCTTTGAAAACCCTATGAATAACAAAGGAACACAGTTGGCCATATTGGGGAGCTAACTTAAAGCTGAGACAATATGTGATCCAGAAGGGGGAGACTGACTTGCGTAAGGTCTCTGAGACATTCTCATTGCTTTAGGGAATGAGTTAAAGGTGAAGGAGTTTCTAGCATAGGCCACTGGCCTGAAGTCAGACTATAGTGGTGGAGTCGGGCGAGAACTTGTGTACCTTGTCACCAAAGCCTGCACTTTTTCACACTTACTTTCCTTTGTACCACAGCTCTGTCTGTGCCCATACTTTCCAACCTCTCCCAGGTGATAGGCATATAAGAAATGGCAGTGTACAGGGAAAATGGATGAAGCTGCTTGGGGTTGGAGGTGACTAGCTGGAGGACCTGAGGCTGGCAATAACGACCGGGGAATCCTAGCTCCTTAGATCTGAGAGGAGCCAGCAACTCATAGAGCTTTACTGTATAGGATTTGCAAAGAAGTGTTCACTAAGTCTGGCAGTAAAAACCAAGAACCATAAAAGTTTAGATCTTTTGACTCGTAATTCCACTCCTGGAAATCTAACCCAAGTTATTAGGTGCTTTTGAGTTGGCTCTGAGTATAGTGAGCCTGTGCACAACCAAATATGAAGAAAGGGAGGGGAAGGCTTGTAACTAATCTTGACTGGTTACTGTTGACTCTGGCTCACAGCATCCTCAGGTGGGCTCCATAGGGTTTTCAGTGCCTGACTATTCAGTAGATCACCAGGCCTCTCTTCCCAGGTGTCTCTGGGTGGATTTGGGTGGACCCAAATCACTAACCTTTTGTTTGCACCACCCAGGACTGGTCACCTTAGATCACACATACTAGCAAAACTAGTAGCTCTCCAGTGGTAGAGGGATTGCTTTTATACTGCCACTCAGTGGAATGTAGAACTGCCATTGGAAATGCGAAAATGTTTAGTAAAATCATGAAGAAACAATGTGTAGTGAACTCTCTGTGCTGAATTGGCAGGCAAGTAATATGTGTGGTTCACGCCTGCCTAGAGCTGAGTGGTGGAAAACAGGCAGCTAAGTGAGCAGTAACCCCAAACAGTGGCTGGTGTTTGTTAGGGGATACACAAGTGGACTGTTGCAGGAGAAGCTTGTCTTTGGAGTACGGACAGGGATCATGGAAGGCTTTGGGGGGGGGGACGACTGAATAGTAATCCCAGGGTCTAGAGGATAAACAGATGTCAGGAACCCTGGTGATATAGTAGGTTAAATGTCGGACTGCTAGTTAAAGGTTGGAAATTCAAATACCCTTCCTAGTCCCTTTGTGGGAGAAAGACGGGCAATTGCCTTCTATTAAGATTTACAGCCTCTCAAAACAACTATGAGATATCATCTCACCCCAGTCAGAATAGCAAAATTTAACAGAACAGCAAGCAGCAAATGCTGGCGAGGTTGTGGAGAAACTGGAACTCTTATTCACTGTTGGTGGGAGTGTAAAATGGTGCAACCACTGTGGAAAGGCGGTATGGCTCT